AACGATAAATCAGCAAAAATGACGTCACCATCATCATTCTTCGTCATCATCTCCGCTACCGCCATCATCATCATTACCACAATCCTCATCATCATCATTATCCCAATCATCATCATCATCATCACCACAATCATCATCATCATCACCACAATCATCATCATCATCATTACCACAATCATCATCATCATTACCAAAATCATCATCATCGTCATCATCTCCGACAGCGTAACTATGATCACAATCATCACCGCCACTACTGGCATTACTATCATCACCACAAATCTGGAAAGGTGTTGCTGATAGTAAAGATGGCGTAGAGATAAAATTTGACATAAATAATTGCAACTTCAGCAAAGTAATAATAATAATAATAATTATTATTATTATTATTATTATTATTATTATCAAAAAAAGAATGATGATGACGATGATGAGTATGATGAAATTGAAAGGAAAGAGCATTACCTTTGTAGCCTCTCTTCCTCGCTTTTTCCCTCTTTCCATCATTACCATAACTACCGTTACTGCCTTTTCTGACGTCATCACCATCGTCATCATTTCCATCGTCGTTGTCCCCATCACTATCATCACCACCACCGTCATCGTCACCGCCTTTTCCGCCGTGTTTTTTAGTGTGCTTTTCATTTCCGTTTCCGTTATTACCGGGTTTTCTGTTAATCCGAGAATTTAGAGATGGCACGGCAGTATCGATAACCGACAGAACCGGTAGAAGACAGGATGGCGTTAGCACGTTACCGAATTTCGAAACCGACAGCATTCTTAACGGTTTCGGTGACGGTATTCGCGTGTGGTGATTTGGAGTTTTTGGTAACACGGACGATGACGTTGATGAGGATGAAGATGGTGTAATTTTTGCTGTTGTTAGTTTGTTGTTGTTGTTGTTGTTTTCTGTGTCTGAAAGATCAATTATATCGTCATCGTCGTCGTCGTTGTTGTGGCTGTTGTGGTCTGGTAATTTTTCATCCTCATCACTACCACTACTACTGCTGCTGCTGCTGCTACTACTACTGCTGCTGTTGATTTTGTTGTTGTTTTTGCAGAATTCATTGTTGGTCATGTTTTTGTTTGCGTTGTTGTGGTCGTTGAGGCTGGCCGCGGCGATATTCACGCTCTCGTTGTCGCAATCGCTCCAACTACTCTTTGAATCTTTTCTTGACCGCGAAGTCGATGGCGACGAGAATCGCCCATCATTTCTCGTGACGTCATTATCTATGTGGTCGTTGCTATTTCCGCTTGTATTGTTGTTGTTTATGTTGTTGTTGCTAGTGTTAGTGTTAGTGTTGTTGTTGATGATATCATTGTTTTGAATGGCGTTTTTAGCCACCATGTAATTTGTATAGGCTTCATTATTGTTATTAATATTATTGTTGTTGTTGTTATTATTATTATTATTGATGTGGTTTTCTAGTTTTAAGTTATGCTTGGCGGCGAAAAATTTTTCAAACGCAGACATGATGTTGAATCTAGACGGATCGAGAGGAAAGGAGAGCGTGTTTCTGACGCTAGTGAAGCTACTACCACTACTTCGCACGCTGCATCCTTCAGCTTGGTTAGATATGACGCCATTTTTGTTGTTGTGGTGGTTATTAACGACGCCAGCGTGTTGCGAATGAATGTTGAACAAATGACTGAATGGATTGTTTAGAGCTGGAAATAATGGATGAGGGTGTGGGGCGAGTCTACCAGCTAAGGGCAGCATGCCAATGAAGGGCTGAAAGTTGAAAGGGGGTAAAAGTCCCCCTGTCATGTTTGAATTCGGTGGTGGGGGTGGCAATAATCTCAATCCAGTGGTGCTAGAGTGGTGGCCAGTGTGGTTACTACTGTTGTGGTGTTGTTGGTTGTGCTGTTGCTGCTGTTGTTGTTGAAGTTGTTTGGACTCGGAACAAAAACCGGCTGACTGAAGATGGGATGCTCGTCTAACCTCCAGTGCCATCTTGTCAACGTAGCGATTGGCAGCCGTCGCAAACGCCACTTGAAGACGCTGGGTATCTGAGATCGGGAGAGACCAAAGGGGGTCATCAGGGCGGGGTCTGATCATGTTGTACGGCATGGCTGGAGGGCCTCGAATCAGGCCCTTGCCTCTTAAAGATAGATGGCGGGAGCAGTACCCGCGACGTTGTGATTCCTGTTGAAAAATTGAATAATAACAATAACAACAACAACAATAATAATAACAATAATAATAACAACAATAATAATAACAATAACAATAATCACAAACCTTTGAACACCCGTCTTTCGAGCACAATCTTCTCCATTGTTTCCCATTAAACTTCTTCCGGATTCCGTGTGGGGTAAAAACAACGTCACCCTTTTTATATTTTTGGCCCATATACAGAGAGGCCCTCAAACGAGTCCCGTTCTGTGATTGGTGTTCGGTTTGACCCAATTCTCTGGGCGATGTAAGTTCCATTTTCTGATTGGTCGAGGTCGGACCAATGAGGGGTGAAAGTTTTTTTTCGAGGTGGTTTTAATAGTGTCAATCAAAATTTAATGCTGACTTATTTAGATTTATTTTACTGTGATTAGAAAATGAAATGAATTTGAATGAAAATTATTTATTTTTAAATTGTTAGATGTTTTCAAATAAATTGAAAAAATCAATTATATGTATTTAGCAATTTATTAAGTTTTAATCTGCAGTCAAATTATAAAAATGTAAAAATAAGAATTATACGAATCTAAAAACATAACTTAGTTAAATTAATTAATTAATCAATTAATTAATTATCATACCATATCTATACACTCTTAACGAGGTACTGAAGATACAGAAATACGCCCAACACAATAGAGTACAACAGTAACGGTACATCACATACATCAATACGGGAGCTTAAATGAAATATATACGTTTTTGTGTGCATACACACACACACACACACACATTTGTATACATTTACATAATATACTGGTATGCAACATATGCATACATTGTTTATAAGATGCTAAACTATACAATGGAAATGTTGTCTATGTATACATAGTACCTATATAGGCAGAGGCATGTGATGATGGATCCTTGCTTTATGTTTGTTTGTTTGTTTGTATGTATGTTTGTTTGTTTGCATGTTTGTTTGCTGGTTTATTTATTTGTTTGTTTGAATGTCTGTTTGATGGTATCTATGTTTGTTTAAATATTCAGATATCATTATATACATACGTATAGCCACAATATACATATATATATATATATATATATATACATATATGCATACTGTTTTTGATTTCAGTATATATATATATATATATATATATACATATGTGTATATATATATATAATATACCCTATATATAAATACAAGCATTTGTACTAGCGTATCGTAATGTATATACTCCAAAGATGTTATCTGACAGTTTATTGTGTGACAGTTATTGTATGTATTGCATGTATGTATGTTTGTATGTATGTATGTATGTATGTATGTATGTATGTATGTATGTATGTATGTATGTATGTATGTATGCATAGCAGTAGTGGACAAAATCGATAAATGACCAGGCTGTTTGTGTTGTATGCTGTAGTTTAGAGTATGTTAGTTTAGTGTATGTAGTGTTTTTTATGTTTATTCTCTGTTGTTTTGTATTTGTTTGTTTGTTTATGTTTATGTCCATTTTACTTTTGGTCTTGCTTTGTATATTTTTATATGTATATTTGTATGTTTAGTTATGTTTAGTCGTTATTTCGTTCATCCTCCCTTTGCTGATAGGTTTTATTTTGTTGTTGTTGATGTAATTGTTGTTGTTACTGATGCAATTGTTGTTGTTAGTGATGCGATTGTGGTGTTTTTGAGTGAATAGGGCGATTATTGTATTGGTTGTTGACTATGATTATGATATTCTTTTAGTTGATGATGAACAAGATAGTGATGACGTTTTATGTTTGTTCGTTCGTTTGTTCATTTGTTTGTGATGTTGTCGACGTGTTGATTGTGTTGTTGTTGATAATATTTTGATAATATTGATGTTTTTTTAGTAGATCGTTATTAAATTTTTCAAATTTGTATGTGCTCTCTCTCTCCCTATCTCTGTTTCTATATCCATCCATCCATCCATCCATCCATCCATCCATCCATCCATCCATCCATCCATCCATCCATCCATCCATCCATCCATCCATCCATCCATTCATCCGTCTATCTATCTATTCCTTTTTTTCCATCTTTTTTTCGCACTACTGGCCCCAATTATTTAGTAAGTAAGACAATCAAATAGCATTTATTATCTGTAATCGTATGTTGTTAGTGTCTCGATTCGTTTGGTGGCAATTATGCCTGCCTCGAGTATGGTGTGATTTGGAGGAATGATGGTTTGTTTTTTTTTTTTCTTGCCTCTAAAAATCTTATTTTTATTATAATGTTAAGATACACGCGAATTTTTGCTCTCTTTCTCTCTCCTCTCTCTCTCTCTTACTCACTCTCACTGTGTATGTGTGTGTGCGTGCGTGCATATCTCTCTCTCCTTCTCCCTCTAGACCTGAATTTTTTCTGGTGAGGACATGAATTAACAAACAAACAAACAAACAATCAAACAAACAAACAAACACATCAGCTAATTTTACTCATCTGTTTATTTGTTCACCTCTTAAAAGCATTGCAAAACTTCATATGTACATGCTAAACACGGAGAAAACAAAAATAATAATAAAATAATAACAACAATAAAATAATAACAATAAAATAATAAAAATAACACCAACACTGCCAACAATAATCATTTCAAAAGAATAATAATTTCATATGATCCCAACTGGCAGATATGAAACTGAATAAAGACCAATAGTAATATTAATAACAATATTGATAATAATAATAACAACAGTATTATTACTACTATTATCATAAATCGAATTGTTTAATTAGATTATAAACTGGTTAGTTAACTCATATCAAATAAGTTTAATGTCATTAATTCGATCACGCAAGAATGAGGCTTTTTAAAGGTGCCGAAAAAGAATAAAACGGCCCCCATTCTTCATTGATGTAAATTCAAAATTGACAAAATTTAAATGATAAATATGGTGCCGATCGCTACGATGCCGAACGTAAGAATGATGATTAGGATAATGATTAGTATGCTGATTAAAATCTATAGAAATGATTAAGATAATGATTAAGGCGACGATCAAGATGGTTATGACAATCAAGATGATTGAGAAGATGATAAATGATGGAAAATAAAAAGATAGTAAATTTAATTCTGTCACTAACTTTTTCGTATGATTTGCCAAACTTTGTCATAGCAGGCTGAGTTTCATTTGAAATAAAAATGTAAAAATGTAGATACAGACAAACTTTCAGGATAATACACACACACACACACACACATACACACACACACCCAACACAAACCAAGAGATAAACATACAAGATAAGCAAATTGTTTGTATTTCTTCTCTCTCAAATGAAAAATACACTTGCTAGTAATTTAAAGTTAGCAATTTTCATTTGGTGATTGACCAGACACTGAAACACACACACACACACACACGCACACCGAAACATCCATTTAGAAATACATTCTAATAAAGTCAAATAAGCAAACGTGAGATGATAATAATAACAACATTATTAATACATTAATATCAACAATAATATATTAATATTAACTATAATATTATTAATATATTTTAAGGTAATAACGACCAAAGATACTAAATAAGTCAATTTAATCCAACAGCAAAACCATGAAAAACTATTGAAAAAAAAACACACACACACACAAAATGGCAAAAGCAGTAACACAACTAAAAATAGACATACTATTTAATTCAATTAGAATCTACATAGCTTCGTATTTACTTTAAACCTAAACTTATACACCAAATTAAACACTATTCAGCTGTCAATGTATTAACTATTTTCACCTAGATTATAGCTTTTATAAATGCGTATATACGTACATAAATACAAAACATTCATCACTTCTAATAGTAAATAATTTATAACCTAGTATTTTATTCGTTGGAAGATAATAGTTTATAACCATATTGTTTTAACTATATATTTATATACCTGTATACGTATGTATATACAATCCTACATAAACACACACATGCAAATACACACACACACACTCACACACACACACACATAACCGATTTTTTCAACTTAATAAAACCAACTATCAATAATAATTATTAATAAATTTAAACAATAATAATACTGCACTGCAATAGATTACTTCAATAATAATAATAATTAAGTTGGATTGGGATTTACTCTATGTATGTAGAATCGTCATTATCGAAAATCGCTTCTTTAATTATAACACAGCTAGCTTTTCAAATAATTATTATTATTAATAATAATAGTTATTATTATTGTTATTGTTGTTTCAAATAACTAGACTGGCCAAGAAGTACAAGGAAACTATATTTGAGATAAAGCAATCAACATTACATTACATTAAAAAAACATTTACTAAATGACATTAATGAACTGAAAAATAAGCATATTAATAATAACTTTAATAATAATAAAGAATTGTTTTGGTATATATATATATATATATATATATATTATATATATATATATATATATTTATATATATATATATACTAACATACATCAGGGTCAATAAAACCAAAGACAAAAAGACAGAAACAAAAATGCAACAATGAAGTGTTGGTTAGATTTTTTTTTCTAATTTTGTTTTTTTTTGAGATAATAATACTGAAAATAATTAAAATAAGAAATATAAAATGATGACGTATTATGTTGAGAGAGAGAAAGAGAGAGAGAGGGAGGGAGAGAAAGAGGGAGCATAGAAAATAATTTTCTAAATGTTTGATCATTTATTTTAGGTTTTAGGATGAACAATGCTGTTGTTGTAGTTGCTGGTGTTGGTGGTGGTTTTTGCAGCTGCAGTAGCAGGTGCATTTTTTGGATTAGGCTGTTGTTGTTGTGGTGGCGGCTTACTTGACTGCTGCTGTTGTTGAGTTGGCGGTTGTTTGTTGATTTGCTGTTGTTGAGATGCTGGCTGACTTAGTAAAGGCTTTGCGACACCATTCTGCTCTGGCTTTTTGATGTTTGCTGTTGCAGCTAGTGCAGAACTGTCACTGATATGTTGTGGTTGTTGTTGTTGTTGCTGCTGCTGGTTCTGATTAGTAAGATGTTGCTGAAGCTCATTAGCCATTGCAACTGGATCGGCTTTCCCTTTGTTATGCTTATCAGCAGCAGAATTAGTTTGAGAATGTTGTTGAGTATTTTGCTCCTGCACATGCTGCTGTTGCTGTTGGTTGGGGTTGTTGTTGATAGGGCGACGGTTATTCTTTCGTTTTTTCTTCCTCTGCTGCTGCTGCTGTTGTTGCCTCTGCTGTCTGTTCACCGACTGACCTTGCCTACTACCGCTTGGCTGCTGTGCATTTGACGGACTATCGTCATTGCTCGATGACCCGGCACTGTCTGGCGACGAAAGAATTAATCAAATGTAAATTCCATCTAAAATAAATTTATCATTTTCTAGAGAATTTCGAACATAGAATAGAAACTAGCCAGTTGTATCGGGCGTACTGTAGCCAGCAGCATCGTTAGCAGTCGAGGTGCCAGCAGCCCCGTTGTTGTTGGAGGGGGGGTGATGTGGTTTGTTGTCGAGTACCGTGCCCTCCTCATCGTCAATCCTCTTCCTGCTTCCATTCGTGGCTGCGGCGTTACTGCTGCTGCTGTTACTGGTGGTAGATTGGATGTTGCTGTTTGCCCCGCCACCACGATTTCCTCCACGACCTGTGTGGCGTTTCATTCATCAAAAAGATTACTATTACTCCCTCTAAATTGTACCTCACCCTCCCTCCCTCTCTCTCTCTCCTCACTCTCAAACAAACAGCAACACTGACAAAATTGGAAAATCTCTGGTTTCAATTTGCTTTTAATAAAATTAAATTGGAGATTCTTTTAGAAACATACCTCCTCTCTGTCCACCACCACCACCGTTATATCTTCCTCCCCCACCTCGGCCACCCCTTTTTCCTCCCCCTCTGATATGCTGGGGTCCACCCAGGTCCATGTTATTAGATGCCCCTGCATCCACCCAATCAAAGGAGGCCCTGCGGTTGTCACGCTGCTGCTGCTGCTGGTTGCCCTGGTCTGCTGAACACGGATTGGGAAGATTTAGTTAGTGGAATCAATAATAAAAGGTTGATTGAATAAGTGAATGAATGAATGAATAAATGAATGAATGAATGACGGAATAATTAAATAAAATAATTAATTAAGAATGAATTATGTAATTATCACAAAGAGCTATGGTGAGGATGATGTGTGGGGTTAAAGTGAAGGATAGGAGGAATAGTACAGAGCTGATGTCAATGATGGGACTGAATGAGGACATTGTGACATTGATAAGGAGATCGAGATCGGGGTTGCGTGATACTGAGGCGAGTGACAGATGTGGATGGCGTCGAGGGGTATTTCGGTTTCATCATAGGTAGCCAAACGGCAACCCCCGATCTCGGGGAAAATGCCGTCTAAACGGGTGTTGTTGTTGTTGTTGTATGTAATTATCACAAAGATACAGGCTTCAGAATTTTGACTAGCTAGTTGATGGGCGATGGACAGATGATTCATGACTGAGTGTGTGAATGATCATGATTATAACACATCAGCAACAAAAACAACGACGGCATCAAGGTCAGGGACCGACCATTGTAGCCCTGCCTCTCGGAGGACCACCTACCATTACCACGTCCTCGACCTTGACCTCCTCTGCCAGCTCCACCTCTTCTATCGTCGAAATGATTATTATCATCATATCTGGTGAGAAATAATTGATTTATAATAATGACTATAAATGAATATAATAATAATATAATAATAACCAAAAACAAATGAACAAGCGAGTTAAATGAATGAATGAATAACTAACTAAATGAATGAATGAACGAACGAATGATAAAAAGAAATAAATGAATGAATGAATGAATGAAAACCTTGTTCTCTGAAACGAATACTGCATTGGAGCCAAACTCTTCAGTTCATCATCTATCTGCTGTTTCTCATGCCTCAATCTATCTACCTCCTTATGATTATAATAATAATTATAACCATAATTATTATTAGCCATAATTAATAATTACAAAATATTATTATTAATAAACATTAATTATAATTAATAATTAACGAATTGGGAAAAAACCTTGAGGTGTCCAATTTGATAGTCCAATAACATTCTAGCATTACTAATGCTCTCAATTGTCCCAATGAAAATAAAATCACTATGTGCCTGTGAGTGTGTTTATGTGTGTGTGTTTATGTGTGTGTGTGTGAGCGTGCGTGTGTGGTGCACGTGTACATATTCAATGACAACAATAACAACCTACCTGATTACCGATATCGTTATCACCATCATTATTATTCAGGCCAGCAGCAGAACTTTCATCGTGATGTTGCTGATGTTCCAGCAGCTCATGTGGCCGCGTTTGAGGCTGCTGCTGCTGCTGCTGTGTGTTCTGCACGTGAATATCTTCGTTGTTGCTGTCGTCACTGTCATGGTGGTTGTTGTCGTTTATCCTGACTCTGACGACGCCCGACCTGTTAACTATGTCTTGAATGTTGTGGCCATTCTTTCCTATGACTTTAGCTGTGCATGTGTATGTATGTATGTTATGTATGTTATGTATGTATGTGTGTATGTATGTTATGTATGTGTGTATGTAAGTTGTATGTATGTGTGTATGTATGTGTATGTATGTATGTATGTATGTATGTATGTATGTGTGTGCAACTGATTGTGCACTAATTAAAACAATCCTACAACCAGCAGTCCTCAGAATACCCAAGTGAAACACGAAAATAACAAACAAATTACAAAAAAAAACGGATATTTAGATAATGTAAACCATTCAAAAGAACAAGAAAATCTAAACACAGAAATCATCCAAAACATGTATACACACGCACATACAAACAAACACACACACACACATATATATATCTTATATAGGCATACAGAAAAAGACAGAGAGACAGACATACAGACATACAGAGAGAGATACTAACAGACTAAATTTTTAGGCACATGGATTTTCTCTACTACATACTCAAGTATCTGTCTGGCTGATTTAACTGCTTCTGTCGTCTGATGATGACGGTGATGATGACAGTTGTGATGATGGTGATGATTAAAATGATGATGATGATGATTAAAATGATGATAATGATTAAGATGATGATGATGATGTTCATGAAATTATTATCATCATCATTATTATTATTATATTGTATTATATTATACTATATTATGATAATTAAAATAATTATGGAATAAAAACCATATCCATTCAAAGATCAAACATCATTAATTTTAATAGTAATATCATCATCATCGTCGTCGTCGTCGTCGTAAAACTAATTCCATGACTAATCAGCAGAGAGATAAATCATCAGCATAGCGTATTATTATCAATTAATATTTTGCCATGCTTAATACGTTTAGTTTTGAATCATAATGAGAATGAATGAATAAATGAATGAATGAATGAATGAATGAATGAACAAACGAATCAATCAATCAATCAATCAATCAATCAATCAATCAATCAATCAATCAAAGGAAAATGAATAAATAAATAACTGAATGATGCTTTCAAATGTAATGATGAATTAGCGGACAGTATCACGTGTGAACAATTATTTCAGTAGTAAAATGACTGAACAAACGAACGAATGAATGAATGAAGAAACGAATAAATGAATGAAAGAACGGAGGAACGAAAAAACTGAAAAATAATGACTAAAATGAACATACCACTATAGCAATAGCAACAATCCCACTACTGAACAAATGACCCAAAAAAATAAATATATGAAGGAATGATGAAATAAATAAAGAAAGAAGGAATAATCCATTGAACAACAGGCAGACAACACTAACTTCTCCACAGATTCTAAATGTACAGTTGTCAATCTCAACAGATATTATGCCCTCTACCTTTCGAGCTTGAATTATGTTGCAACCATGACTTCCTGTGTATGTATGTATGTGTGTATGTATGTGTGTGTTTATGTGTGTTTGTTTGTTTGTTTGTATGTATGTATTTGTATGTAGATTTGTATGAAAGAATATACAACAAAGAGGATATATTTAAATTTCTACACACACAAATGTAGACAAGCAAGCAAACAAAAACGCACAAACACACACACACAACATAAAGGCAAACCAATTGCCAGTCCCATGAGTTCCTTGTGGACTGTGAACTCCTCTTGGCATGGTGCCCTTATGTGCAACTTTGTCGACTGTTCATTTGTTTGTTTATCAGAAATTGTATGATAATAATCATGAATAATAACAACAGTTATTATTCATATTAAACACCAATCCTATAAAACCACATAAATTTTGCAAAAAAAAATAAAACAACACACACACACACAGATATTTCAAGTTTCCAACAAACTGTTTGTAATCCTTTGCAGCCATAATGACAGACAAACAACAACTACAAACACCAACAACACAACACAAACACACCAAAACAGGCCAAACACAGACACGCCACACCATACCACACCACAGACACCTCTAGCTTCTTGCAAACTTCTTCGGTTTTCTGCAGCAGCTGATGCTTCTGCCTCAAATTCCTAAGATGCATGTCCGACAGCAGATTGGCTCGCTTAATGGCATTCTTCTCTAGAGACTTTAAAAATTAAATTATTGTTGAAATGAAGAAAAAAAATGAAAGTACAACAGAGTACTGCTAACATCATCAATGAAAACATCAACCTACAACACGTTAACCAAAGATTAACAGAGAACAAATAGACCACACAAACTAAGGCAAAAACATACAATAAAGACAGCCCAAAACACCAACCCAAAGACAACAAAAACAAAAGATAATGACAACTTCAAAACTAGCCAAAGACCAAAAAACATACAATAAAGACAGCCCCAAACACCAACCCAAAGACCGCAAAAACAAAAGATAACGACAGCTCCAAAACTAGCAAATGACCACAAAAACATACAATAATGATGAGTTGTTTTGAATCTCGGTTATACTGAACAATCTCCGCCCCACTGGCATTCTTAAAGTCGATATGCACTTGCTCATTGAGACATCTATGTAACATTTAAAATTTATTTTAAATATTCACTTTAATAACTAAACATAATTTTAGAAAAGATAATTAGAAAATATTTGAATACACACAAACTAAACTGAAATAATTAATGCAAAAAACATCATTTAATAATTGAAAAATTTTCCTCAGACTGAAAAACCAAAAAAATAGGTATAATAATTCTTAGTAGATGACCAACATCTCTGCCAAGTCATCCGGTACATCAACAACGAATTTCTGGAAGGTGCCACGACTTAATGGAGGACTAATGGAGATTAAAAAATTTTCAATTATATAAAATATTATGCGAAATAAATTGGAATAATAAATTCTCTATAATTTATCACACATAAGTAAATAAAAATTCCCAGATTGAAAAAAAATTTAATCAACCCAAACAGTCCAGTCAATAATCCCAAATTCGAGTTAATAATCCTGAACTAATTAATACCAGTCTTACTTATTATTTTTGGCCCTCAGTCGATCGACTGATATGATATCACTGCAGTGTGTTGATTCATTGACCTTAACATCGACAACAGCGAATTCGCCTTTCATCAACTTGATGCGGGCTGGCCACCAACCAAACTGATTGGACCCCGCAGTAGTTGTGAAAACCTAACAAAAAGCAATGATATATTTCATTAGGAAAAAAATTTAATCAAAGTTAAAAATCATGTTTTATAATTTTATTTTATACAAATTCTTTTCAAGTAAACAAAAATGAATGATAAAAATTTAAAAAAAAAACAAAACAAAATAATAATTAATAATATTGACTTCAACTTCTTCATTCTCTTTCAGGTCAACTTTAGTGGTTGGATTTAAAGGCAGACGAGCTTCAGAGAATGACACTATCTTTTCCTCACTAGGACTATTAGTGAAAATATAAATATAAATACGATTTTATCACCCATCTCTTTTAATTTTTTTCATTAATGAATAGATGCATTCTTTTACTATAGAGTAAAATTAAAAAAGCCAACAAATTAATATTTAAAAATTAAATTTAAATTATTAAACAAAGAAAAATAGAAGTTATTTTATTGTATTTCATTTAATTTAAAAATATACTAACTCAGTTTCAAGCGTCACACTCAGTTTATCATCGTATACATTTTTAACAAATGCCTGGAAAACAAAATTTCAATTAAATGACGGCCATTTCTCCAAACAACGAACAAGTAACCAGATACATACAAAAACTAATTCAACAACTTCTCACATTAAAATTCCAAACAAAAGAAAAAATAGTCTAACTTTGTAATAAACGCCATTGCTCCCCACTACTTCAACGCACAAAAGATTGTCAGCACTCATCTTATAGGCCACCTAAAACAACCTAAATTAGTGAAAATTAGTAATTAGGGAAAAGTATTTTCCAAAGATTTTCCTCTCCTCAGCAGACTAAGAATGCCGAAATTCAAAACTTTTAGCAACTTTAAAGTTTTTTAAGCCGAATAATATTTTTAAAAATACTTTTTCGAATTAATATTAGAGTAAATTTGAGAATTATTTAATAAAAAATTATTTGAAATGATTATTTTGATAGGAAAAAGACTCGTTTGATTCGCAATTGCAACTGCACATTAATGACCGCTAGAACTATAAATAGATCTCCAAGTACGACTAATAGCCATAGACAAAAATATTTTTATCAAAGTTTCTAGGATAACAGATTAAAACACGCTAATTTTCAAATATTTCAAAAATTTACGCAGTTTTAAATTATTTGCCTTATAATATTGCTTAATATATATTTTTCGATAGACAATTATGAAAATATTAATTACTTTCCCTGATTTTTAAACGTGTAACCAGCTAACGTGTAAATCGAACTACATGGAGAACTTGAAACAAGACCGCTAAAATTTAGCTATTTTTATTAAAATTTTATACATACGATAAGTAGTACAATGTAAAAAACATAGCGATAGTTAAATACATACATACATACATACATACATACATACATACATACATACATACATACATACATACATACATACATACATACATACATACATACATACATACATACATACATACATACATACATACATACATACATACATACATACATACATACATACATACATACATACATACACACATACATACAAGCACACATTCATACATGCACACATAACAAGATTGTGACTAAAAAACTGAAAAATACACAACAATAAAATAATGAGATTAGTAAGAGCTCGGTGGTGGGTTTAAGATGAAGATATTTTTTTGTAGAGTGGGTGTCGGGAAGAGAAAATTCTTCATAATGTCATTTAACTTCTCAATGGAATGCTGGATGTGAATTTTGACGACATCATCCTTTTCTATGTAGTAGACATTTTTTAGTAGGCGATAAAACTCCGCCAAAACGTCACCCAAGATCTAAAAAATTAAAAAAATATGGGGTTAAAAACCATAAAATAAAAATTAAACGCTACACTAACGATTATAACGCCCATTAAAATAGCTAACATTAAGATACATATGAAAGAAATTCTGAAAATAAACTAACCCTTAAAGTATCTTTAGAGGTTCCTTGTAGAATCTGATGTGTAGCCAGTGCAGCAGCTCTCCTAACTTCAACGCTCTTATCATACTTCAACATACACTTCAAGCTATTGAATATCTGAAACCAAATCAAAGAATCAACATGAAAGATTTGATTTTTGAAGCAAAATTTAGGACCGTAAATGAAGAAAAACGTTACTTATGGTAAGAAAATGAGAAAAAAATCAAAAAAAGAATTAAAAGTAATCACCTCATTGACATTAGAGCTGAGTGAAAATCCAAGAAGCTTGCATAGCTGTGCTAAATTCGTGATGGCACTTGATCTGACTGTCGGATAGTCATTTCTTGACACTTTCACCAGCGTTGAGAATAATTTATTCTTGTACGCAATGGCTGAACTACCTGTTAGAAAACGTACACAATAAATTTGTTATTTATGTTTAACTGCCCTAAAACTGAAAATAATAAAATAAAATAAATAAAAATATTAAATCGAACTTTTCGCAAATACATCGTAGAGAATCAAATAAACCTAATCTAGTGACGACTCTCAGAAGCGCCTCTCCCAGTTTTAACTTGACGTCAATTACTCTTATTTGATTCTCATCAACCTTCAAATAATCAACAGAGCCAATACCCCTGTCGACTTCAACGTAATCGTCCATCAAAATCTGCAAGAACTCCTCATGGTACATCGTGGTTAGGGCCGACAGAGCATATATGGCGTTCAAATACACATAAGAATCTTCGTGTTTTACGTTATATCTGCAGATCTTGAGGAGTAAGTTTCTGTATTTTTCGACAGGTGGCGAACGCTTTTCAATTAGTTTTCGCATTATAAGCAAACCGTGACTTATAACAGGTACCATGACGTCATTGAGGTCAACCAGCATTTGCTGGAATAAGGCAAGATCATCTCTATAATTATTACTATCACCGATAACGTAATCGGTATTTTTAGAATCAGAGGTCTTTCCAAGAGAGCTATTATTAGATCTGTTCGAAGATTTCAACGTTTCTAACAAGGATTTAATCTCCGAATGGTACTGGACCTCATTGTTGAAGGATAAGTTTTCTTCTGAGATCTCCTCCATGATAAATACTTCTTTCGGAGTGCCAACATCTGGATTCGAGAAGCGTACTGTCTTTGGCGTTTTCAAAGAACACGAGGAGGACAATGGCGGTAGGTCAAAGCTACTTTTTTCATTCTTTGCTTCGGATGTCATTAAGGCAGATTTAACTTTTGTGTCTTTGGCTATCATGGTCGTTTTTACGGGTTTTAGTAAATCATTATCCGGCGGTAACGGTAACGATACTGACTCATTTATACTGGAAGAGTCGGTGAGTGATTTGTGACTAGGAAATGATGATGCTGACGAGGAAGATGATAACGACGGTGACGGCGGCAACGAAGATGAAGATGATGACGAAAATGAGGACATAGATGCTGCCGATAGTGATGCTGCTGCATTGAAACTCGCTCCTGAGACTGAGTTACCGCAAGATTGGTCGACAAATTGGACGCGTTTGACAGGGGTGGCCTCACTTCTGTGGCCAGCCGTTTTGACATCCTTGCTCTGCATTGACATCAAACTCGTTTTTACCTCATTTTTCAATGATTCAAATCCAGCTAATCCTCTGCCTAATTTGCCTGAACTTTCGCAGACATCCAGTAGTTTACCTCTCGTCATGATTGTTTTCATCAGCTCGAACGATGACAGGCGAACATCTGGAGAGTTGTGATGGTCTGATAAGTACCTCAGAGATGGCAGGAGACCGCCGGCCTTTGTCCATTCCTCTCTTGTTAACTGGATGGTTAAAGAATTTGAATTGTGGTTGGTTGAAACATTTTAACGGAATGTAAATGGTTAGATTGGATGATTCGTTGTAGTGTATTCTTCTAAAATTGGATATAGCGATTGATTGGATTAAAAGTGAATTCAAAATTGAAAAAACGACAGAAATAAAATAAGAAAAATTGAATAAAAACCTGATTAGGACCGAGTAGGATAGTGGCCAGCAGGCCGATAACAAGAGCCAGTGTCTCTTCCTGGAAGTTTGCAACCTCAAGAACGACATTCGGGTTCGCATGTTGCATGAACTTTATACTCCTTTCCATTGTTAACTGTGCATATGTGTGTGTGTACGTTATGTTAGTATTCACGTGCATAAGTGTGTCTTTGTATGTGTGTTATGTGTTTGTGTGTGTGTATATGTAAGGTGTGGGTATATATGTGCATGTGTTTATATATGTGAGTGTATGTATGTGCGTGTGTGTATATATGTGCGTGTATGTGTGTGAGTAAGAGCGTTGAAAATGAATACCTGTGAGAAGAAAAATATTTGTCCGGCATTTTTTAGGCAGAGATGGTCTAACTTGTCTACAAGGATTCCCAATAAGGCCAGCAGAAGGATGTTGTGTGACATTTTTTTCAGGTTAATGTTTGAAAACTTTGAAGAGAAAATTTGTATAAACTCTGTATCCGTCTTGAATTCATCTGCTACTATTTCTGTCAGCCCCTGTCAAACATATGATGAAATGATAATTATGTTAATTATTCACTCATTCATTCATTCACTCACTCACTCATTCATTCATTCATTCACTCATTCATTGATGTTATACCTTCAAGCAAGTAAGAAAAACTTGAACAGCCAGTTCCTTGTTATCACTGTCCATGATGAGTTTTGATATGCATGTTGATTTAGTTTCAATCTCTTCCAGATTAATTATAGCCTCATCTGTATCTCGTTGACTGTTTTTTGGAAACATTTGATATATCAATTATTTATTTGTTTTTTCATTCGTTCGTTCGTTCGTTCGTTCATTCATTCATTCTACCAATCAATCATTCATTCATTCTTTCAATCAATCAATCAATCCTTTCTTCGTCCATTTCCTCAATTGCTCAATCATTCATTATCAAACAACATTTTCAATATTATTATTATCACACAATAAAAAATAAATAAACCAGACCTGGAACTCCTTACAATCTGTATGCCCCCAGTCGGCCCGGGCACGAACCGAACCAGGGGGTCCATTCGATAGATACAGTTTGTCACATCCCTATTTTCTCCGAGCCCTGAGTTACCAGTGGCAAAAGTTTGTAAAGACGGCGCCAGGGTCGCTGATGGTTTAGACGTTGTCTTATATGCTGGCATATCATCTGAAGTCATAGTCGTCGTCGGTATGCGCACATTTAGGTTAGTGAGAGTGTAGAAATAATTCGAAATTTCACCAGGTTCCAGCTGGTTGAATACGTGTTGGACTAATGACTCTATGGTGGACCTTGGACGATTAAAATTGTTTGTTTTGTTATGCTTAGTGGTCTACCATAATCATTTATCTTTCGTTTATTCATTCATTCATTCGTTTGTTCGTTCATTCGTTCGTTCGTTCATTCATTCATTCATTCGTTCATTCCTTCATTCATTCGTTCGTTCGTTCGTTCATTCATTTATTCATTCATTCATTCATTCATTCATTCATTCATTCATTCATTCATTCATTCATTCATTCATTCATTCATTCACTCATTCATCCATTCATTCATTCATTTATCAATTCACTCATTCAACATTTAACACAAAAAGAATTCAAAACCTGAGAAAAGATATGCCGCCAGATGCGTAGAGGTAGAGTTGGAAGAGTACGTTTAGGTAGGGCAGCAAACATCGGGCCAGCATCGAACCGGGGAAATGTAATATAACTGTCAACTAAAAATATTCATAAATAATTTAATTAATTAAAATGATTGATCCATTAACTGTATTATTGAAAAAGTTATTGAGTGATGTATATATATATAATTTGATTGATTGATTGATTATAAAAACCACCACCAACCTCGTGCAGTGTCTCGATGCAGATCGACATATCTCTCTCACTAACTATCTTTTCGCACTTTTCAGCTGGAAAAAAATTAATTAATTGAATAAAACTGGTAATTAAAAAAAGTAAACTCAATGACGATTGGTGAAAAAAAGAACAAAGATTAACAAAGAACATAAAACTTAAAAAAATTACCCATCTCTACAAGTTATAAAAAACTCAAAAGCTAAAAAAACCTTCAAATCTGTTAGATTTTCCCTCTGTACAGCATATCAAAGGGTCAATGATGACATTTAGAACGCATTCATAAAATATCTTAGGCTCCTTCTGAAGTAAATTCTCTAAAATCCTGACAACACAGGGCATCATGGCTCGACTGGTTTCGTTACTAAATTTAGCACCACCCTGGCCGACTTTACCATCGTCGTGACAGCCATCCCCAAAACAATTACTACCCTTATTACTGTCTTGGGCAGTTTTGTTGATGTTGTCGCTGCCGACGGAGCAGTTAATGTTGTTGCTCAGCTGCGGCTGCTGTGATTTGCTGCTGTTATCTGACCGATTGCTGACTAAGCCATCATGGCAGACCCCCTTGTAGTACTGCTTCTTTATAATCTCTATGATCTGTTTAAAAGTGAATTACGGTATATAAAATAGACAAAAGACATCAATGATTATATTTTGTAAAAAATAAAATTGATGATGCAGACCTGTTCAGCAATAATGCTGTAATATCTTTCACTGGAGTAACTACCGAGAGGACAGTTCATGACGATGCGTGCAACTAAATTGCATTTGTTCCAATCGACGTTCACTGGCCGACCTTCCGTGACCTTTGCCTGAACATCTGTAAAGATGTAACACACAAATTAGGACGATGGTCATTAGGGAGAAAATGATGAGGATGATAATGAGGATGATAAAGAAGAATATTTCCTAAATAACTGCTAACCAGAGCACTCATCGATTAGTGAAAGTATGATTGACTGGATTCCACTATCTTTAACAATGCATTCTCTAATGTAGGCACTGCATCTTCTTAGCAACCATTTTGGGGTTTTTGGATAGCTAGGTTTTTCCATTTTAGTCTTTGAAAGAAAAAAATAGAAAGTTAGTAAAAAATTCTTCAATATATATATAATATATTATATCATGAATTATAATAGTTTTGTTAGAAATAATAAAATTTATTAGAAATAATTTAAAAATAGACCTCAGGTGGCGTGCCTCCAATCAGCAAAATGAGTTCCCTGAATATGAACTTGAGAGGTGATGTCATTATGATGTCATCCAAATACTCCTTATACCTGGATACATCAACAGTGAATGGAGTCGTTGTTGTCGTTCTTGATGTCATGTCGTTTTCATTGTTTTCCACTGCAGCTGTTGTTGCTGGTGGGATGGCAGGTAATGTCGATTTTGCTACAAGGATTACCTTATTGGGTGGTGCCATTTTAAAGAAACTGATCTGAAAGAGTGCAGTTATGTAGGTGTTGAAGTGATGGCTGATTATATACTCTTTGAACAATGGGGACAGCTTCAACTGAAATAAATCCATAACCAAATTCAAAGATTTCTGAAACAATTCAAAACTGTCCTTATATTCTGGGATAATTTGATTAGAATCGTCGAAAGGAATGCTAGAAGAGGCAAAATATTTCTGCATGTTCTGACAGGCCTGCGACTTCATTGTAACAGGCAGGCCAACTCCTGGGTGCATGTTGATGGAAATTCCCAATACAAATACAAAATCTATTGAATACCAAAGAGATTTCTTCTCATTGAAACTTAGTAACTCAGGAGATTTTAGATATTGTACATTCTTCTTCAAATTTCTATTATAAATCCTCATTTCTTTGGTGAGCGATAATGAGTACATTTCAAGAAGGAAGAGATTCCATTCCACAAAAAGTTTCACCACTTCTTCCTTGGTTATTTTCTTTACTAATTTCGGACTGGACGATAAATAGGGAAACTTTTCATTTATGTATTCAAGCAGCTCCGTATATTTTAAATTCGACTGCAAACATTCGTAGACTTTTGATATGTTGAAACAAAACAAATCCTTAATGGTGTCCGTGTTATCTGCGCCAGAAAATTAAAAGAGTTATAAAAATTTGAATCAAAGTAGCTTTTTAATAAAATTCTTGAGTTACTTTGCAAAAAATAAATTTTTGAATAAAAAAATCTTACTTTGAGCAGACGACGAAGTCAACAACCCTATTATTTCCAGATATGACTGAGCTGTTATTTTATCCATTTTTTATTTCGATTTTATTCCAATTAAAATTTGATTGTTTTTGCTTTAATTATTTTTAAAATTTTTGAAATAAAATAAATTTGCGATGTTTTAATTTAAATCGACACGTTATCATTAATGCGAGTGAATTCACATGTTTGTTTATTTTTATTTATATTGCCGTATACAATTATACATGGACAGAAGATTACAATCGCAAGTTTTTATAATTTCAAAGTTAAAATTTTTGTTCTGTGCGATTGCAAATTATGTAATGCAAAGCACTTTGTAAAGAAATATTGAATCAAAAAACAAATTTTAAGTTTTAAGGAAGGAAAATTTTTGTTATTGAGATTGTTAAGAAGTTATACCCTTATTCTACCTATAAAATATAGAATAATTTTTTAAATCTGCCCATTAATGTATAAGTCTCAATCTAAATTATTTTCTAAGTAGGTACTTATCAGATATATTAATTGAATCTAAACTCGCCGGTTTACGATCGTCTTCTTGTTTTCACTTCTTGATAACCGTGTTAAATATTCTTTTGTTAAATCTGCATTTGCTTTTTTTGGCCCTATTCTCTGGAACCCTCTACCTCCTTCTCTGACTATTTCTTCATCACTTACGAAGTTCAGAGCTCAGAGCAAAATTCATTGAGGAGCGCTGTTGAATATCGCGGAAATAGCGCTTTATAAACTAAATGATTGATTGGTTGATTGATTGATTGGTTGATTGGTTGATTGATTGATTGATTGATTGATTGATTGATTGATTGATTGATTGATTGATTGATTGATTGATTGATTGATTGATTGATTGATTGATTGATTGATTGATTGATTGATTGATTGATTGATTGATTGATTGATTGATTGATTTGGAAAAATATTCAATTATCCTATTTTATTCTAAAATTAAAAAGTTATTTCATTATATTTGATTCAATAAATTTCACATAATCATTTATTGATCGAACGACTAAATAAAAAAAACTATGTGTGCCTTTCTTAAAAAACATAATTTCATTTGAATGGTTGTAAACAATGTCGATATTGATAATAAACTTTTAAAAAATGATAAAATATTATTTTCTTGCATTCGGATATATTTTTTTCAAGCATTCTTTGGCAATATTGGCTTCTTTCTTGAAAAATGAAAAAAATATTCGATTACCAATTGGTCAAACCATTTCAAATATGTAGTGATTAAGTGTAATGACATTAAATGAATAAAGCAAAATTAAGTAAATCAAAATTTACATTTCAAATTTTGTACTTGTAATCTTAGAAAGGTTTGTGATAAAATCCTTGGATCTTGTTTAAAACATTCCTCCTGGAACGACGTCAAATCATCATCTGAAATTATTTTATCTCTTTTTCCGGTACCAAATGGCCATTTTCCTGGAGGTGTAAAACTGAACTGACTTTTAGCTGGTAAAATAATCACCGTTGAGAGAACTAAGCATGCCAGAAAAAGTGCCAAACAGTTCATTTTGTAGATTTTTTGTTTTTTTTTTCTCCAAAATTCAGCTGATACTAATGTGAAGTTCATCTTCTTTTATAGTAGTAAATTTAGAGTCGTAATTGAGTTTAAGCATTTAGAATGAGACACGTAGTCGGAATTGAATTTAAGCATTTAGAACGAGACATGTTATTATATTAAGGTCAAATATCCCAAAATTATTACGGCCCCTTTTATTACAGTATATGTAACGATAATAAGGGAATTTCCTATATGTGTTATTCTACATATAAGCACGTCGTCGTCATTTTTTTTTGTCAGATGTCAGATGACATAAAATTTAATTGTCGTTTTAAGATAACAAAAAGAAATTGTTATCTATGCTCACAACACGTAAATAAACAAATGAAAACTTTGGCATTGTACATTGTATTGGAACATCGTTCGGCGAAAATACGTTTTAATTGGTTGAAAATTTAATTAAATTAAAATAATATTCAATTCGTTAATCTAAATAAACGGCCTAAAAATTAAGATTCTAAATTAACGTTTTAAGAACGCATTATGGCGAACAACACTAATATTAGTGGCGAAGGGGCAGATCACAGATTATCGTTCAAAGTGGTTTTACTGGGAGAGGGCGCAGTCGGCAAAACTTCGTTGGTTCTCAGGTACGTGGAGAATAAATTCAACGACAAACACCTTTCTACATTACAAGTTAGAATTTTTTTCAATTTTTTTAAATTATTTTTGGATATGTGTTTTTTTTAACTTTTGGATTTTAGTAAAAATAATACTACAATTTTAAAAATTTTGTTGGATTTATTTATTTTATCTGCTGAAAATAATCAGTGCTCAAATTAAATGGATACAGTTTCAAGTTAAAACTAATTTTCCACATAAAAATAGTTAATTACTTAATTACTATTAATTTTCCCAAATTGAAACTAATTTAGGCATCCTATCTTACAAAGAAACTGAATATATCTGACAAACGCATTACACTAGCTTTATGGGACACAGCAGGCCAGGAAAGATTTCATGCCCTGGGACCAATCTATTACCGGGATAGTAATGGTGCACTCCTAGTTTACGACATCACAGATGAAGATTCATTTAAAAAGGTTCTTTTTGGCACTTAGAAATTTTCACATTGTTGTTGCCGTTACTGTTTTTATAAATATTACCAGTAAGTTTTTTTATTTATTAAGCATTTATAATATAGTATCTTTCTCTATGAATTTCTGTTTTATTATGTTATGTTCTGTATTTCAATTTTTTGTTTCTGTCCCTATTTAAGGTACAAACATGGGTTAAAGAGTTACGAAAAATGTTGGGAAGCGACATATGTCTACGAATAGTGGGAAATAAGATTGACCTCGACAAAGAGAGACATGTTTCCCTAGAAGAGGCCGAAAAGTAATTTGTCATCATCATTTTTATTAACTCTACAATCATTAGAAGCAATTTGTCATCATTTTTATTAGTAATATAATTATTTTTAATATTAATATTATCACTTTTATTAATAATTTAATCATTTTTATTATTAATATTATCACTTTTATCAATAATTTAATCATTTTTATCAATATTATTTGTGGTCTTTTGTACAGCATGTGATCATCTCATTTTTTGGACTTTAAAATGTAATTAACTTTATCTCATTAATTTATTTTTCTTCCTAAGCTACTCTGCTTCTGTTGGGGCCAAACATTTCCAAACGTCGGCAAAACTTAACAAAGGCTTAGATGAACTATTTTACGATCTTTCGAGAGGTTTAATGTTTCTTCCACAATAATAGTAGTAGTAGTAATTAATAATAGTGGTATTGTACTGGCGGCAGTAGTAATATTGTAGTAGTAGCAGTAGTAGTACAATAACTAGTTTAGCACATTTTAATATTTTAATTCTCAAATATTTTAATAATTAATTAGCAAAATTTATTGTGCACTTGAAAGTTAATTTATCATCAAAAACAACAAATCAACAAATTCTAAATTAAAATTCTACTTTAATTTTTCAGCCATGATTCAAAATCACGAAGAGGAGATGAAATTAAAAGCAGCTTCGAACATTACAACGACCGCCAGAAACACAGTCACCATATTGCCAGAGGAGCCACGGCGAAACAATTCATTAAATTCAGGGTCAGGCTGTTGCTAGGGATTACCAAAGTCGACTAGAAATTAGTTTATTGTTGATATATTGAGGTAAGAAGGTCATTAGAAGGTCATTGATGATAAACTTTTTGATCTGTTCATTACTTTATAGGGATGTTTATAATTTTGCACTATGAAAGACACAGATTTATAATAAGTTTGACTGAGATAAGTTAGCCATGATTGTTTGTAAATTTACTTACCTATGTTATACATGCACACTTTGTAAAACTTAATCAAATATCTAAATTTAATTTGACAATGTGTCATTTGATTGATGCTTATTAAGATTAACTATCATAATTCATTTATTAAAAGTTTACTTTATGATGAATTGAAATTATATGAACCAAAATCTGCCACTTGGTGTTATATTTTTCAACAATTATTGCATCAATATATACATTGATATAATTAATCTCAAGTAGTTATAAATTGCACCGGTTGATTGAAATGAAAACAAAAATTAATAATTCCATGTCATTCATCTAGATGTGAATTGGTTGATAATAATTGAAGTTTCAAAAACATTGGAATATTCATATGTTTAATTATTTTATCAATTTTTTTCGCCTTTATAGATTTTCTAAATACAAGTTTACTCAATTTGAATAACGAATAAGGCCCTTTTTTGATTACTCTCTTGACTGCGTTGAAAAATTCTAATGTTTTTGGAGTTTTCGGCCATTCTTTTCGAGCTGAGGTCCAATCTTCATTATGAAATTCACTTCCATTGTTCAGTAAGAAGACACACAATTGTATGTTTTTATTTTGAATGGCTATAGAAAGTGGTGTCTTGCAGTTGGCGTCCCTAGAATTGCAATCAGCCCCATGGTTAGTTAGTAATCTTACAACAGCCATTTGGTCTTCAGCAGGAGAGGTTGAGTTGATTACTGGATAATCATTGTGAGGGTGAAATGGGTCTCTGGTCGTAATAGCATTCAAATAATAAAAATCATCATACTGCAAGCCACAGGCCTGATGGAGAGCAGTTTTGCCAAGGAAGTCCCTCGCGTTAACATCGATGGTTGTGTGAGATAGGATGAGATCAACCATCTTAACATCATGACTGAGGGAGGGAAAAAAGAGGCACGTCCGGCCTTCTTCATCTTTCATATTAGGATCTGCCCCGTGTCTCAGCAAACACAAAATTGCTTTTGTACATCGCTTTTCCACTGATTTGGCCAGGGATGTTTTTCCATAGACATCTTTTGCGTTGACATCTGCATTAAGGGAAAGTAACAGTTTAATAGCCTTAACATGATTCGTCATTGAAGCACAAAGTAAAGGTGTTTGATGCAAAAAATGGCATCGACTGTGCACGAGGTCTGGACATTTTTTTATTAACTTTGCAATCAAACGAACATTTCCTCTCAATGCTGCTAGATGGATGGGTGATCTGTCCCATCTACACTTATGACTGTTCAATTTGGCACCACTATCTATCAACAGGAAGGCAATGTCGTAATGTTCTTGAAAGATTGAGACAACCAGTGGAGTCTGGCCGAACACCTGGTAATCGAGATCAACTTTTTTCTGCTGAATCAACGTTTTCACTCTGTAGAAGTTGTTCTGATTGATGGCGAAATGTAGGCAGACGGGTTCAAATGTCTCTTTCCACAAACCTATGTACCCTGCAGGAACAATACAATATTAATGTTGTTAATTAACAAATAAAATGAATACTTATGATTCATCATTATATTATGTACAAAAAGATTCAACTTTCAAATCTAAAATTGCGAAAATGGACTCCAATTCCCCACTTCTACTAGGGATGGAGCTTCTACCTTTTGCAGCATCTTTTAACAATTCCGGAGAAAGAGGTGGAGGGTCGGGCACTGATTCTTGCACGGATGGAGGCTTGGACATTTTATGTGATTACTACGAAATACAACTTAAAAAAATCGAATAATCATTAGAATTGGCATTGATTTTGTTTGACAAAAAAATTCAAAATCGCCAATTTTTTGGTAACTTAATTTCACTTTTTTTGTTTACACATGTAAGTGAAGCCTTTAACACAGAAATATAGATAGCACGGCAACATATATGAGCCCACAATGTATATCTAGGTATATATATGAGCCCATATATATTATTCAATTCATTCAATGATCCTCTGTAATCCCTTAAGGGACCGTTGAGGCCGATGGTATTCTTCTATCTCTCCAAAATCCTTTTCTTTCCCTCGCCATCTTCATTGAGCTCAATGTTCCAACCCCCGTCCATTTCGTGATATCATCCATCCACTTCCTCACAGGTCTTCCAACTTTTTTCTTCCAGTCCCTCTTTCTCATCAGTACTTTTTGATCAGTCTGTCGTCTGTCATTTTGCAGATGTGCCCAAAAATACCCAGCTTTCTTTTCTTGACACTTTCATACACAATTTTTTGTCTTCCAAGTTGTTTCCTTATGGCATCGTTTCTTATCTTTTGTTTCCAACTTTCTATAACAATGCATTTCGAATGTTTCCAGTTTATCTTTGTCTCTTTTCTTCAACGTCCAAGCTTCACATGCATACATCAATGTAGAAAACACACACGCTTCTACGATCTTTACCTTTGTTTTTGTAGATACATTACCGTTTTTCAATATTACTTTCAAAAATGCAAACATTCCTCTCGCGATTGCTATTCTTCTATCAATTTCTTTCGAACAATTATTGTCATCAGTTATGAGGCTGCCCAGATATATAAATTGGTTCACTTGTTCGAGCTTTTCTGCTCCTATCTGGAATTCATCATTGTTTCCACCTGCTTCCGAAATCATTATCTTTGTCTTACTGCTATTGATGTGTAGTCCATGGTTTCTTCCACCATCGTACGTCAACTCGATCAGTTTCTGTAGACCCTCTGCACTAGATGCTAGCAGATCTATATCATCTGCAAATCTGAGGTCCCTTATCACTCTGCCTCCAATGTCGATTCCCTCAATATCTGCATTCTCCATTTTTTCCAAGGCTCTTTCCAACAGTGCTAAGAACAGTAATGGTGATATTGGATCTTCTTGTCTACTTCCTATGCTCGCTTTGATCCAGTCTCCCAGCTCTGTACCTACCTTTACCACCATTGTTGACTTCTCATAAAGCCCTTTCAGCACCCTTACCATTGTTGTTGACACTCCCATACTTTCCAAAGCTGCCAACAAATCTTCGTGCCAGACTGAATCAAACGCCTTCTTAAAATTCACAAAACAATGAAAAGTTGTTTGACCTCTGCTTCCTGCATCTTCCAACAATAGTCTCAACATCAGGATTTGCTGGACTGTATTTCTGTCCTTTCTGAAACCTGCCTGCTCCTCTTCTAAATGCTGCTCTATGTCTTTCTCCAATCGTTCTTTCAAGATCGTCAGCATGATCTTGCACATATGAGGGATCAGTGCTATTGATCTGTAGTTGTTGCAGTCTTTCAGGTCTCCTTTTTTTGGCAACATGATCAAGATTGATTTACACCAATCTTCTGGCCATTTTCCACTGTCCCAGATTTCTTGGCAGATTTTGTGAATCTCATTACATACAATTGGTCCTCCCGCTTTGATCAGCTCTATGGGAATTCCGTCTCTCCCTGTGCTCTTGTTGTTCCTCATTTTCTTTATTGCTTTTATTACTTCCTCCAATGTTATTTCCGTTTCTTCCTCATTGACTACTTTTCTTTCTTTTAAAGCCTGTAACACCTCCTTTGTATACGTGTTTTTATCTGTGAACAGGTCCTTGATATATCTATCTTTAATTTGTTGGCCTTCAGTTAGAACATTTCCATCCTTGTCTTTAATAATCCTTGGCGTATTCTTCAGTTTTCCTTTTAACTGTCTGACTAGCTAATTTGTCCAACTAGTGCTTCTACCCTTTCGCATCTATCGTTTATCCATCTTCTTTTATCTGCTCTGCCACTTTTCTTTATTTTGCAACACAGTTGTTTATATTTCATCTCATTTTCGTTGTTTTGTCATTTTGTTGCTTTCAACTGTCTTTTTTCCTCTACGAGTTTCCAAGTTTCATCACTTATCCAGGGTTTTATTATGTTTTTCCCTACTTCGCATTTTTCGGCTGCAGTCTTAAGCACTTTCTCCAAGTTACTGACTCTTGTTTTCATATCGTACTTTGTTTTTGTATCCAATTTGTTTTCTATTACATTTCTGATGTCTTTCAACTTCTCTTTTATCATTTCTGTGTTATATTTCACTCTTTTGATATTTTCGACTGACTTTAGTCTCTTCGTTTTTTTCATCTTGACGTTGCATAACACTAGACAATGATCTGATCCAATCTCTGCACTTGGAAAAGCACGGCACTGAGTAACAAATTTCATCCATTTCTGTTCTATCAAAATCAACATCTTAACATCTTTCTTTGGCAGTACATTAAATGTTTGTTCCAGTTGATCGTAGAATGCCTCGATTTCTACATCCGAGTGATCCATTGTTGGAGCATAGGCCACTACCACATCAATGTCTCTCGGGTATCCCTTAAACCTCGCATACATCATTCTTTCATTCACTGGATTGTTTTCTAACAGTGCTTTTTTTGCTTTTTCGCCAATAACCATTCCAACTCCATATATAAAATATATATATAATAACTCCATATATATATTATATATTTATATAAAATACATATATATAGAAATATATGTTGAATCAAATTAAGATATATGTATACAGAATAAAGAACAAACTCAAAATTATACTGAAAACGTATTTTTTTTCAAACTCTTTTAATGTGGTCTTGAAATAGTATCTTAAGATGGAAAAGTTGTTTAATAGATTCATGTAGTACTTAATCCCATTGAATTATATAATCCCATTGAATTATATATTATATAATTCCATGCTTAATCCCCTGAAGATAAAAGTGTATAGTTTGTAAATCTCGATTTTTTATATAAAGTGTCTTGAATCGACCGAATAGTATCACCATGGATATTTATATGGATATATATATTCATGAGTATCACCCTGTATTACTAAACACGCACTACAGTTGGATAATTTTTGGGAATGTGGGGTTGATATAGTAAATTATGCTGGCAGTTTTTTAGATTCACATAGTACTTAATCTCCTAAGCAAGAAAATGTATAATTTGATAAGGGAAATCTCGACGTTTTTGGTATAAAGTGTCATGAATCGACTAAATAGTTATCATTATGTATCGCACCAAGGTTCGATTATTTCTAATTTTTACTGATTGGATGTTTTGTAATTAACAAGTTTTAAATGTTATTTAGTGTTCAGGTGTAAATAAAATTTTACTATTCCGTTTTGTTTCTTATTTATCAAATTTAATGAGATTGCTTCTAACAAAATATTTATTTTTTCTAAGATGTTTGTTATAAAGTACGCCAGGTCAGCTAATTGCATTTTTTTGAAAATAATAGGTTTGTAGATAAATTAATTAAGAAAAAGGCTCATTACTAGTAACTATGTTATGTATACAAATATTAACATATAAATTGAAATACGAAAATAAATAAAACGCACCATCATTTTTTCTATACGTTAAAAAATCCTTCACCTTCCTCCATGCATTACTAATCTAGCTCAGATATAAATTATTTTTCTCGGTTGTTAGTGAGGCAGGCCGGATTAGGCAGAGGTGATTAGGAATCAGGCTGGTTCCATTGTTTTGTTGATTGATCTGTTTGTTTGGTGGAGGTTTTGGGTTCGATAGCAGCGTTAGTTTCTCTACTTAGGCAGTGAATTTTGTGTCAATTTTCTCTTGTGTGTTGAAACGCCAGTCAATATTAAAAAAACAAAATGTCGGATCACGAAAGCGGTGATGACCACCATAATAACCAAGCTTTGTTAGGGAGGAATAATGGTCAGTACGAGCTAATTTCTTTCATTTGTTGCTTTTTATTATCTAATTTTTGATTTTATGAGAAAAATATATTAGTAAATAGATTTTTGTTGAGTTTGTTTGGCTTTTTTGTTGTCATGTGCATCCTAGCATGCGAACGCGTGTATTGTTTGTCGTCAAAGAAACTTTTTAGCATTAATTCTTAAAACAAAGCTGCTGGTTCTGGGGAAGAAGAGTTGGCCTCGAAGACCCTGCAAATTCAATCTAAGAGATTTTATCTAGATGTGAAGCAGAACAGAAGGGGGAGATTTATAAAACTGGCAGAGGTTAGTCACTGATGCTTCTTCATCCACTTCACCTCCTATATAAAATAACTGAAATTTAAATCCAACTTTTTTTGAATATATTACTTGAATATATATTTATTTTGATCAACAAGGTTGGAGCTGGGGGTAAGAAAAGTCGTTTACTCTTTGCCATGTCAACAGCTGCAGAGTTTAGGGATTTGTTGACTGAATTTAGTGATCACTATGCATCATTAGGTTGGCTTTTTTTTTGTTTTCTTGTTGTTTGCTTATTAATTTTTTAGAATTTTTATTTAATTTTTTGATTTTTCATTTCAAATTTTATTGTTAGCCTTTAAACATCTTGAAAAAAGCTTAGTGAAAGAATAAAAAAAACTTAAAAACAATTTTACTTAGGTCCTCCTAATGCCAGCAAAATCCCAGACGATGGGAAGCTGAAAAGTGAAGTTATGTCAAAAGAGAACAGACGCTACTACTTGGATTTGAAGGAGAACCAGAGAGGGAGATTCTTGAGGGTGATGCAGAAAATTATTATTCATTAATCAGTTATGTCATTTCAATTAAGTTTCAACAAAAGTTTAGTCAAATTTTGAAGTTGCTGTTTTAGTTGACAGCATTTGCTGATTTTTTTTTAATTTTAAAATCCACTTTCAAATGATAAACAGGTGTCGATGACTGTTCCATTGTCTAGACAACGAGCACAAGTAGCCATACCAGCTCAGGGAATGATCGAGATTAGGGATTCACTAACCGATCTGCTCAATGAGTTTGGTACTGATGATCATGGTCAGGAATTTTCTTAGATTTTTTTGTTGTTGTCTTAATTTTATTGAATAGTGTTTCTTTTTTATATCGTTATATGGAATGGTTTAGAATGTGTTACTAATGTTCTCACAAATGTTAAGTTATTTCTCAACTGATTCCTTATTTGAAAAATAATGATGGTAGAAACCCATGAAGAGCTACCAGAGCCACAATCATTGAAGGCAGAGAACAAAATATTTTACTTTGACATTGGCCAGAACAGGCGTGGAAAGTTTATGCGCATATCTGAGGTTGGCTATTTGATTGCGATTGGCTGGTTGTTTGACCATGAATGATTGTTTGGTTGGTTAGTTGACAGGTTGACATTTAATAATCCAAGTTTAGGACAAAAATACACAGCCAAAGGTAAATTTCTTCCACTAACATTTCCCCACTAACTAACTTCAGGTCCGTACTAACTTCCGTACGGCCATCACCATTCCCGAGCGCTCGTGGGCTCGTTTCAGGGACGTGCTCTCCGATTTTGCAGACAAGGGCGCTTCTGGAGATTCACAGCAGCAAAAGAAGGACCAGCACCCTCCCACAGCTGGCGATGCAGCTGCTACAGCCACTGTGTCAGCAGGGCCAGCTGTTGCAGCTGTCGGTGCCTCTGGAGAAAAAAATTGATGTCATGAGATGGTGTTCATGGTGGGAGAGAGAGAGAGAGAGAAAAAGATGATGGTGAAATAATGTACTAGTAATGATGATTATAATGATAATGAAGGTGGTGTGATGATGATAACGATGATGATGATGATCACGTTTTAGAATTTAAGTATTTCAAGTAATTTATATTAATCAGTTAATATTGTTCCACTGTTTATTTATTCATTCATTGAATTGAATTTCAATATTGTCGCATGATCACTGATGATGATTATGGTGGTGATGATGATGATGAGAATGATTGTAAGAATGATGATGATGATGACGACGGCGGTGATGATGAAATGAATTGTTGTTGGAGTGTGCCGTGCGTGTGTTTTTCATTCTTTTGTGATTTTGCGTGTGTGTGTGTGCGCAGGTATGTGTGAGTGTATGTATGTATATATAGATATATATGTATATATATGTGTGTGTGTGTGTGTGTGTGTATATATGCATATGTATATGTGTGTATTTATAATAACAGTTTTGTAAGGAAATTAACGTCAGTTCACTTATATTTTTGCATTCTTCTATTATAACTGGTTTAAGAAACATATCTTAACTATGTATGTCTGCCGTACACAATAAACATACGCATACACACACACATACATATGTCTCCGTAGTTTAATAAATTATAGGTTTGGTGTTTGGTCATTTCAATACTATTTCAATGCAATAAATGTATATTGTGTTGATTTAAATTAATTTAATACCTAATATTAATTAATTTTATATAAATAAATAATTTACAATATATATATTTATATAACATTGGATAAGTGTGGGTATTTTGTCACATTTCAACTAATTAATTTTTCTCAATTTTTTCTCACTAAAGTTAAATAAAGTTAAACCACTACTAATATATAGTTTATAGTTAGATTTCTTTTAAAAATAAGGCATTTTTTATTTGTATTATACAAATACATTCGTACAAACAAACAAACGTACATATACATACTCGTATGCATACAAAAATGAAAATACGCCAGAGAACGTACGTATACAGAAATATACAAACTAAGTACTTTTCTATTTATTACAAAATTTGTTTCTTTCAATTGTAATATTTCAAATACTTGTATCCAATACCTTAAAATAAATGACAAATGATGGTATCTTACAAAATATACACTCTCAAGCTGTATGCTCTATTCTCTATAATTATATTATGTTACATTTGTATAGTATATCTATACATATGTATGTCTGGATTGTTTGTGTATGTACATTATATATATATATATATATATATATATATATGTGTGAGTGTGTGTGTGTTTGTATGCATGTTTGATTAAATTTGTCATTTGTTCATAATTTAATGCGTCTCACATGGTTCGTACATATTTATTTATATTTGCACTTTATATACACACACACAGACGTACATATATACATATGTATATGGTAATTTTGCCCTATTATTATTATTATAGTAACATTGTATGTATACTTAGGTTGTTTACATATGTTTGTATGTATGTGTGTGTGTTTCTGTGTTTATGTATGAACGTGTGTTTGTGTGTGTGCTATAATAACATCCCATCGTAAATATATATGTATATATATCTGGTATAAATATATATATATATATCTATATAACATATGGTAGTAGTATATATAGCAAAACATTCATATAGATTTAAAATTTAATAGTAAATAATTACTTATATAATTTGTCATTATATTTATTTTGTAGCGTTGTTTTCTATGTGTTTGAGACAGTTGGGGCAGTTTTATTCTCTATTCTATACGATCGTCTTCAACTTCAACTCTAATTTATTTGTCCTGGCGACTGATTGATTGAATGCATATATGAATTAGTGAATGATTGATTAGTTAGTCACAGTCTGATGTTTTGTTTGAATGACTGTATGAAATGATGACAAATAGTGAGTGAATGAATGAATGGGATGAATTCATTGTCAATGAGTGAATGAACGTACGAATGAATAACTAGATGGATGTGTGAATGAAACAATCAGCCATCAATTAAACATACTCGTTCGATTCATCTTTGATTATTATATGTTTTTTTTATATTTTGAATGTTCTGTTTCACTCTTTCGTTATTTAGAGCATTATTAATTTTTATTAAATATAATAAAAATTTATAATATATTTTATTATTCAAAATCTGATTTTGTTCAGTTATTTCGCACACACAAACACACACACAACGAGATAGTTATTCACATATATATTTCATTTTCTAAAAATAAATTGTATCAAATAAATTTATAAAATATATATATATATAAATATATATATATATATATATATATATGGAAATATCTGTTTTATGTACATCGGTTTTTTGATTAGGTTATCAGTGGCGTGGTTATAAATGAATGAGTGGATGAGAGAGTGAATGGATGAATGAAATGAGTGGATGAATTAGTGCGAATGAATGAATGAAAACATTTTTTGTTGTTTAGTTTTAATTGGTCAGTAGTAAAATGGTGTAGATGATTCATCGAAGACGGAATTGAATTAAATGAATTGACGAACAATCCACAATTTTTCGGTTAATTAGCGTTAATTGCGAAACAGATTATTTAACAGCTAATTAGTAAAATTAGTTAACCAATTAGCAGTTAATTGATGATAATTAGACGGCCGTCTGCCTCTGAGTCAGGCTGTAGAATGTGGACAGCAGTTTTTCTGTCTCAAACATAGGACTAACGAATACTTCTTGCTGCTTAACGTCATTATTTGATAACCATTCATTTGTGTTGCTAACGTTGTCGCTACATTTTTGGCATATGTTGATTCCGCTAAGCTCCAACGATATCAGCGGACCTGGGTCGGTTAAATTTGGTGAATTTTTCTATGGTTTTATGTTAATCTTAGTAATTTAATGATTTATTTGCTTAATTTGAATGTATTTTTACAGATAAAGACGCCTGAGATGTTGTTTTCAAGAATTACACCTATGTGAGATATGTGAACATGCTGGATCAACGCTATTCGTGTTAGCCATTTATTTTACTTAGTATAAGTAGTAACTATAAGTAGTGATAGTGCTACTATTTATTTATTCATTTTTTATTTCAAAATTCGATTCATGCCTTTTAGAGCGAGAGCAGAGTATGTAGATTTGCCAAACAATTTCTCCGCCTCAAAGTTCGAAAGATGAATCTCCTTAGTTCTGATCAGTAGTGTGGAATCCTTGAAAATTTGAGTAAGTATGTTTTTTTGAGTAGGTTTATCGCACGCCATGTGCCGTTTTAATTTGTAGTTTCTATGATTTAAATATAGATTTTTAACAAATATAAATGACTTTGTTAAGTTATTTATTAACAAATTTGATCACTAACGTCTAGGATGTATCTCAAGAACGTCAGAACTCGTTCTCTTTGATAGGGTTCTATAAAGAACACCACGAAGCATGACTATTTGGAGAAAAAATCAGGGATTGTCATGAAAGTATTTACTAAAAAACTAAATATTATCATTTGAGTATTAGCACTACTGTATTTATTTTGTAATTTATTTATATTGAAACAGCTGTAAAGATCACTTCGTCGTATTTTTTAGGCCTAGAGCCGTACGTTAACGGCACAACGCTTAGCAGAGAGTCGGCTGTTATCACGCTTGCCGTTCCAACTTCTGGGATTTCCGTTGAAAATCTATCGTCCTATGTCGGAATTTTTGAGATTGGATTTAAATTACATTTAAATTCCAATATTAATTAATGTGTTAATGGTGTAAGTGTTGTTCGAAGAGAGCCGCGAAAATATATTCAAACTTGAAACAGGTATGAAAAGTTAGCTTTAGATCAGAGGTGGGCAAACTATGGCCCGCGGCCGCATGCGGCCCGCGAAGACTTGTTAGCCAAAAAGAAAGAAAAAAAGGTCGTCAGCCGTCAGCCAGATATTACGACCAAAAAAAGGAGTCACAAATCTTAAAAAATTCCTCTCTGGGTCAAAAAAATTTGCTATTTAAGTATATATGCGGCCCTTCAAAGGTAAAATAGTTTTCCAATGCGGCCCTCACCGCACAAAGTATGCCCACCCCTGCTTTATGAAACTTGAATAAGATTGAAGCGATTGCATTTAGTTATATTATCTCAAATTATTATTAAGATCTAAACTCACCATTTTATATTTGACTTATAGAGAGTGAATGTGTATGAAATTTGTAAAAAGTTTACTTACAAACGGTAAGAAAGAGTAATTCTTCTCGCCAGGGACGGGCGTAAAATCGTGAATGCTGTCCCAATTGTTGTTGAAGACGTTCAGATTGCAACTTACAAATTGATCTTAAAACAATTTCAAAACACGAAAATAGCAAAAAATTCAATAACGTAGCTCGTTTCTATAAGCGAATAACTCAGTTCAACGTAAAATAACCTGGTAACTCAGGATAGTAACACTGATAACATGAAAATCTCATATTCGTAGAAGCTTCAATGATTGGCAACGTGGTACAGTGTAGGTAGGTATCTATTCTCTTACAATCTCTTGATCTGAACTGCTGGCAGGCAGCCATCAGTTTGCAATCATTGCTGTCTCTTATGAATAAGCTGTGGGAATTTAGATGATTTTTAAATGGTTTGTAAAACATTAGAGGAAAAATTGGTCTTTAGTGACCATTATGAATAAACTATAATCACATTGCAAATGAGTTTTCAAAATAATAGATTAAAACTTGATAGAGTTTCGAAATAAAACGTAAACTCTGACATTTTGAGTGATTTCTTAAATATAAAATTGATCAATTTTGTAATACATCAAACCTGGTTTTGATCGGCCCTAAGAAAATTGAACAGTTCAAACAGTCATCAATGTTAACAGCTGCTGTGTGATCCATTACGAAAACTTTACAGTTCTGAAAAAATAACATCAATAACCTGCTAAGTACTCATTAATTAATTAATTGATTAATTAATGAGTACTTTGCAGTTTTGAATGATAAATTGCTGGCCGTTTATAGTCCCAGGGTGACGTATTATGGTCTCATTTTCAATGTTCTGTACCATGAAATTTTCTATTTCAACTAAATCTCTGTTGTCCCTAAGTTAATAATAATATTTTAACTATAACAATGATAATATAAATTTAATAAAATACAGATAACTAATGATATTTTATAATTAAATGGAATAATTGCGAAAAAATAATTTTACCAATTTTGACAACAAAAATTAGTAAACTAAATTTGAAATCAAATTTTCGATTTATAATAACTTGATTTTAGTAACACAATTTGTTATGATTTAAAATTTATATTTATAAAGAAGATTTTCAATGATAAAACTATTCCAGAAAAATAAAAATCACCATGAATATGCCTTAATTTTTTTACCGTCTTCATCATTATTCAATTTTCTGCTAAAATATTTACAACAATTACAACCCATATTTATTAATTTTTTGTTTTATTACGAATAAATATTAACATATATTCGGTTTTTTTATAAAATATAAGTCAAAAAAGCACATAACAAAATAAATAAAAGCCTAACAACGGTTACTACGGACTCCATTAAATAAAATTAATGTATCTATGCTGTCTATATATTTTTCATTTGTTTGTCTATAACTTTGTTAATTTGAAATATAATGAAATATACATAAAATTGTTATTAATGTTTTAATTTTATTATATAGACACCAACACTAACTAATTCTACAATACTATTAACTTTTTCTTATTACAATTTTTCTACTGCCACTACTACTACTACCTTTACTACTACTACTACCACTACTACTACTACTACTACTACTACTACTACTACTACTACTACTACTACTACTACTACTACTACTACTACTACTACTACTACTACTACTACTGCTACTACTTCTGCTGCTGCTGCCGCTGCTGCTACTACTTACTACTTTTAATAAAAATAATTATGACAAATAATAATTATAATATCAATAATAATGACTTCTTGGTATTAGCAAGTCCGTTTTTACTAAGAGCTGTAACGCCTATTGAAGTTAATTTTAAGGATGACAAAATGTTTATTTTAAGGACACACATATATATATATATATACATTTTATTTTACCAAATTAAACAGCATATCTATATTTTTACGATGAACTCATATAAATTCATAATTACATAATTGTTTTTTTACACACATCCTGAATAAAGATGAGTATGCCACACATACATACCATAGACTTCTATATAGTAAAATATATATAGTATATTCTATATAGTATATTATATATATGATACATACACACCAAGAACACACACACACGCACAACACACACACACACACACACATACATACATACATACATACATACATACATACATACATACATACATACATACATACATACATACATACATACATACATACATACATACATACATACATACATACATACATACATACATACATACAAACATGTAAATTATGTGTGTATATATAGTTGATAGGTTATAGAGTAAGTTTTTTTAAACAGCGTATTTTAAATTAATATGAAATGTCAGTCAGCTTGTATGTTTGTGTTTTGTTTTGTTAGCTAGGCTATAGTAGTTTTTAAAGAAAATAATAATTTTTTTATGTTTTATTATTAATTTTATTATTAATTAATTTTATTATTAATTTTATTATTAATATATTATATATACATTTTATCATTAAACTGTTATTGCTAGTTGCTGTTATTAACCATTAACATTATTCAAATTTTCATCAGTGTTATTATTATTATTACTACTACTTATAAGTTTATTATGGATATAAACAAATCTAAATATAATTAAAATGGGGTATTTATATAGCAGATTTTACCTCGTTCAGTGTCTTATATATATATATAACAGTTAAAAATGTTAGTAACGTTATAACTTCGTCTAATTAATTAACCAAAAATGAATGAAACGCGAGGTTAGTTAATTTGGTTTTATTTAATGTTTGGCTTTGGAAGGTTTGTAAGGAAACAGCTGATAATATGCGTTTATTATTATTATTTATTATTATTATTATTATATTACGTCTTAAATCATCGGAGAGATTTTTTTAGTGCCCACTTGAAGTTGGAGTCCCGCGGCAAATGACCCTCCTACCCACCTGTCGTTCAGCTGGCATGATAATTTATGTGTGTGTTTGTATGTATGTGAGCGTGTGTACGCGCGTGTGTGTACGTGTGCGTAAAATCCTTTCCAAGGAATGCCACGCCAATAATTTATTGTGATTAGGTAATATTTGATGTTGATAAATTGGGTCAACGAATGAATGCATGATTGAATGAATGAGTGAGTGAGTGAGTGAATAATTATTGAATGAATGAATGAATAAATGAATTAACAAATGATTGAAGGAATGAATAAATGAATGATCAAATGAACGTACAAGCAAACTGAAAGACGACTGAACAAATGAATTAATTAAAGAACGTGGTTGTGGAGGTGTGATTGATTGATTTGTCGAACAAACGAATGAATGAATGAATAAATGAACGAATGAACAGATGAATGAACGAACGAATGAACGAACGAATAAAAGAAACGAATGAATGAAGGATGCTAATTCATTCAATCATTTACATTTCAAATTAATTCCTTCAGTATAGCATTACTCCTGCACGGCTGTTCATTCATTAACTTTGTTATTATTTCTATTGTTTATTTTTATTATTATTGTTGTTATTATTATTTTAGACCTGTTCACATTTTTAAATGTATTAAATGTATTTATTCTAAACTCTGTTGGATATATATATATATATATATATATATATATTCAACTATATATATATATATATATATATAGGAAAATTGAAATTACAAACCTTAAATTGATTAATGCCAGCAATTCGATAGAATTCATACAATGCTGTAGGGGTATATAAGGGGTAGGTAAACTACGACCCGCAAGGTCTTGTTCGCCAAGAAAAGGCCGTCAGCCAGACACTATAACCAAAAAAAGGAGTCACAAAATCTTACAAATCATAAAAAATTCTCTCCCGGGTCGAAAAAGTTGCTATATAAGTACATATGCGGCCCTTCTATAGTAAAATAGTTCTCAGTGCGGCTTTCACAGCAAAAAAGTGGCCCACCCCTGCTGTATGTGTATATTGATATGATTGTATGTGTTTGTTTGTTTGTATGTTTGTCTGTATGTATGTTTGTTTGTTTGTATGTTTGTTTGTTTGTATGT